AAAAAAAAAAAAAAACTTGCCATAGAGAGGTTCTAGATTTAACAAATAAGCCGCCGAAGTACATACATGTCTGCCTTTGATCGTCACCTTTGAAAATGCCTATTTTTGACAACAGATAGTGATAAATTTATTAATCGCCAACGAAAAACTTGAAGTCTCTTCAGTTTTTTTTTCATTTTCGAGTACTCTGGGGAGCATGTAATCTAACCTTAACAGTGTAACCATCAGTTTAGCTTGAGATTTTGTCTAATTTTAGGCGCAGATGAAAGAAACAATGATATATAGACAGGAGACCAAAATGACCAAGTCTATGTCAATTTGCCTAGGATCTATTCCATATGGCATCAATGACGGTCATAGATTGTATTTAAAGAATCCATTGCAAGGAGTTGAATGGGTGCATCCAATTACCTCTATGACAAATGAAAAGTACATTTGTATAAATGGCCATTAATTCTAAACACTAATTCCATGTTCTGAGTAGAAGAATTATGTTGCAATACGCTCCATTTTTTATAGTCGGGGGTTTCCGGGTTAAGGCCGTCAAGCACAGGCTTATCGCCGCCTGTCCCCATTAAGATAATGCCTCATAAACTAGCTACCGCTTAATCTTATATTGTTTAATAACAATGTGATTGATGTAACTGATACCCCTGTCTGTATATGCCTTTAGCAGTGAATGGCGGATAACGAGATAGACGGCAATATGTGGACACGTCCTCGTTCCGTCTCGGAACTGCTCCAACTGATAAAGCGTGTTGTACGTGTCCCGCATTTTCGAAATTATGACTTGCTCTGGTTGAAGTAAGCATTCTTTGGCACTTATTCCGACTTCTGTAAAAGTTAAGGTTGGCTGCTTTATGTAAAAAATGTCAAATCTGCCTCGTTTTAATGTGCGTTTATTTTTTTTTTATAATTATCTAATTAATTTAATTAGTTATGCTTGGAAAAAGTGCGTTTTCAAAATACGCCTTTCCTCTGTCTCACCTACGTGGAACACCGTCGGCTTGCAAATCTGAAAATGTCATTGTCGACATTGTTTTAATAATAATAATAATAATAATGAGGAGATAACCAGGCTTCGAGGTTTTTTAAAAAAGGCAAAGATTTGGCAAACATTTGCACGCTAAAGAACAAGAAACATTTGGGTAAAGGGGATCGTTGACCGTTGCAAAACTGCAAAATACGATTCTGCTTTGTGAAAACACCAGGTAAGAAGAGGATGAAGAAACATCGATATAATTGTAAATGGTGTTCGTCTACGTTTATATATGATGGATAGGTTTCTCAACGGCTTTGACTAAGCTATATCTATTTGCTAAATGGAACTTTTTTGTCGAGATTTTCATGATTTGTTTTTTGTGCTTTAAAGGTGTAACACGCATTGCATGCCGCGAAGAACATCAGTCAACGCACGCGAAAATGACTTGTGTAGAACGAAGGCCAAAGCGTTATATTAATTTACAATCGATGTGTACTTTAAGCGTTTATTAAGTCAGCAAGCACTGTGCTTGTGGGACTGGTTGGGACAAAGCCCCTGGTTGTGCTTAATCAATATTCTAAAACACGAAACGCGGTCATTACAAGTTGTTTTAAAGCGGAAAAGATGAAATAGAAGGAAACAATGCGTTTCGATTCCGGATCCGATTACCTGCCAATTATAAACATTGATTTACTTCCTGTGTCCAACCACTGCCATGTTTTAAATTTTGGAGGTGCTGGGAGAGTCGCGAGGCGGTGCGGGAACATGTTTTCTTAAATGAATACAAGTTTCCGAATTCCAGCAAGTGCCCCCCCCCTCCAACCCCAGTTGCAGACTGTTTATATTCAAATTGGGTGAACAAAATGATTTAAAAAGGTAAACAATATGTAAATTTATCTGAAAAATAGTGATAACGCTTTCCTTTTATTAATACTTACAAAATATAGATTGAAAATAAAGATTAAAAGGGATTGTTTGTATATCAAAACGTTACAATTTTGTCCAGAGTGACGGTAACCACCGTTTACAGTGAAACGGAAGATTATGTCTAATAATGAAGACTTTTAAGGCACTCAATCAACGTAAAACTTTACATGGCAAACTTTTAATTTTTTTTCTGGAAATTCCAACAGTCTGACCTCAAACATCAAGTTATAGCATGTTCAAAATCCTTTCACAGAACAAGAATTCATAAACCCATTTTGGAATTTATTGTTCGTAGTCTTGAATCAATGTATATTTCTCGTAGTAGAGATACAGACCTGAAATTCACTCATGGTGGTAAAGTTTAGGAGTTTAGAACCCTAAAATAGTTTTTTTAATAATCATTTTCTCAACGTTTCTCGATATAGCACACGCTGGTGATAAAGAGAAAATGTTGAAATTACCAGGAAAACTGATTTTCCCATAAAAGGTCTTTTACGCATTTTTGTGTTTTGGATAGATCCTGCAATTCCCATACCAAGCAACTCTCCAACAAGACTCTTTATAACATTTTAAGTGAAACATAATCACGTGGAAAGAGTAGCTATTTACCCCCTTCAGAATTGATACAAAGAGACCTGCCGTACAGGACAAACTGTCTAAAAACCATCAGTGTCTGGTATATATTTCGTATCTCGAGTAAAATTGAACTTTAGGACAGATGAACCGATGAAAATGCAAGCTAAATTAACCAATTTCTGAAACTAAACAACAAATTGCTATCCATTTGTTAGGCAACTACAAAATCTGTATTTGATTTACAGACCATTTCCAAGAACATGTACTTCCTTACCTCGCCAAATTCTCCAAGGGAATGTGTCTCTAAAAGAGGCGAGTGCTTGCGTCCTTAGAACGAGTCTTTTTTGAAATAAATGAACTGAATTGTTGTGAGTTGCACCATCATTTGCGACATTAAAGCAGGTATATATTTTCCCCGTATGCCCATAGTCTGAAGAACAGGGATATAATTAGGCGTGACCTGTCAGATTAACTCACCCATGTCGTGATTTATACAACATATAATCGGCTTCTCTTGGCTCAAGAGGCGCCCAATACCTAATTAGGTTTGGTTTTTTTTCTCTATAATGAATCCGTGAACAAATAAAATAAATAATGTTATTTTGCACTGGTATGGGATATATGATAGTTTTATATATGTTTTTTTATGAAAGTATGGAAGTTGAACCGTGATACAAGCTGAAAAGTATACAAAGCAAATAACAAAACAGGCATAACCATTGCTAATTTAGGTTTATTATCTAATCTTGCAGTAAACAACAGACTCCACAATTTCAGTCTCATCCCGACCATTTTGAGACTACATTTTAAGTCTCATGTAGTTCTTGTTCACAAAATGGAGTTGGTGTTAGGAATCAAGGCAATGTTTTTTTTCAAAATCAAAAAGGCACAGATATTGGTAACGTTAACTCTTCTCATTTCTTGCAGCTGCTCACAACCAATTACAGTAAACTTTACAGCTAACACGTACGCTTAGTTAAAGAGCCAAATTGTAAATTTTCTGCAGCATATGTGATAGTTTACGCTACAAAGTGATTCCAATAACGTTAGTGTTCCCAGATGTCCCGGCCATATGTGTTTTTGTTCGCCAAACCTTTCCAGTGGGGGGATTTAGGGTGGTGTCAGGGGGGTCCTGACCACCCCTTCGATTTCTGAAAAAAAAATCACACCAATGGTCACTTCTTGAAATGACTAGCTGAATCATAGTTCTAAACCGTACCAAATGGCACCGTTCGCCCTCTAAAACACCAAATATTTTCATTGGAGGTCGGCTTCGCATCCGCGGACCCCCCTTCAAATAATCCTTGATCCGCCCCTGCACCCGTATTGTAGGTGATTAAATATACATGTACACTATTTATCTATCGTCGTGCAGGTTTCGAAATAAATCAATACACTGTCTGGAAAAAGGTTTAAAAACAAGGACATGCTTGTATTAAAAAAAAAAAAAAAAAAAAAAAAAAAAAAAAAAAAAAAAACAAGGACGGGCTCCCATAATTTAATGTGATGTGACAATTAACTCAACAACAGAAAACGTCTGCCTATTAAGTGTCGAATCTTTGATTTAGTATTAATATTGAAATGCACGATATAATGATGGTTGAAAATACATTATTGTGTAATTCTAGGTTTGGAAAACGTGCAATGGGTCCCTCGGAATATGGTGGAGGCCTAGACGACGCTGTAAATAACGTCCGATCATCTGTCATAGACCTGTTAGATTTTAACGGTAAGTATTTCTCACCCTTTCACATATCAGATATAGTCAGGAGTGGTCTCTTTTACTAGTGTCAATCCATGCGTGTTCACGTACGTGTGCGATTATATATTTGCACGCGTGTGCACTTTTTGGTCAGAAGAACCACAGTCAAACATCCACTGACCAAAGTGACTGAACATGATTGAGACTGTTTCTGGTGACACGTAATTGTAACTAGGGTAAAACGTAACTGATTCACGTTAACACATCATATCTTGTTCGCTGATCGTCATTTTTCAGTTTGGTATAAATTTAGTATGTTAATAGCTTTATGTTGTTACACCGCTATTAAGGATTAATTTGAAGGAGTAGATAAGAGAGACACGAATCAAACACATGTTTCTACCCAAATGGTCTTGTCAAATCATAATTGTAGTGAATTTATTTGTCCTATAAGAGCAGACTTTGAGAATGTATAGAACGAGCTTCAAACGACTGAAAGCCATGGAGACACACAAAAACCTTGTCGACGCTTATATGGGTTTTAACTTAACGACGGGAGGATAATCAAAACAAATAGTTGCAAGCAATAATTTGAAGTTTCAGCGTTTCAGCACATGCAGTAATGACAGCATTATATTGGATGTTATATGATAAAGTCGTCCACACCATGCCTTACGTAATGAAGCAAGACTTTTAAGTCCAGACTCTTATGTAAAGTGTGTTTAAGTTCAAAACACTGACGGACGTTCGCCGGTCAAAGGGGGATGACGTCCATGCCCAGTCGTCACTGTCAGTGTGAATCGCATTTCAATTTAGAGCTTTAAACAGCTGAACTTTTTGCAACAATGGTTAGCTCTTTACCAATTACCTTTGAAGTGGGAAGTCTGGATTGTGGCAACCTGCTATGACGACATTTAAAGTGAGAAAAAGAATGAGAGTAAAAAAAAAAAAACAAAAAAAAAAAAAAAAACGTCGAATTGGTGTACAATTAACCGACCTGTCCTTAGCGTTTTATATCCTGAAACTGAGATTGAAATTAGGATTTTCACCAATCAGAGGTCGTGCAGAACAGAAATGCTTTTGATGTCAAGATAGCCAATATCATTTGCATGATTTGCGACATCCAACCGCGAAAAAACCATTTGCTTGACTCGGGAGTTATACAGTAGTAAGGCAGTGTCAAGAGGTGAAATTTTATTTGTTTTGATATACTGAGATAGTCAATCAAACTCTAGCGGAAGGAAGATAATTTGAAATATATTGCCTTTTGGACGTCACCCAATCTCCCCGATATCGGCATGTTGTTAACTCCATTGCTGGCACCAACGAAATTGTTTTCTATACCAATGAAGTCGCCTCATCTTTCCCGGAAATCGATTAAAAATCAAGACATTAATTACCTGGGTATTATTCCCTTTTTCTGGCAAGTTCCCGAAGGTAATACCTCAGCATAGTTATGGGAACATTTAGTACGAAGAAAGTCGAATACAAATAATTATGAGTGTACATTTTCTTTATATGTGAAAAAAATGTCAAGTGTCACCTTCCTTTCAGAGTACTTTCATCCAAACGACTTGTATATGGTTGTAAAGATTGGTGTTTCGTTGACAGAGAGTTGATATTGTTGGAAGTGAAAAAAAAAAAGAAAAAAAAAAGAAAAAGAAATAGGAAAAATGAAACGCAGAGAAGTGAATTAAGCAGCCTGGCCGTTAGTCTGTGAACCGCAGCTCGTTGACAGCGCTCAAAGTTTTCATTTAATCACAGCCATTTTCGACCTTCTCTGAAGTACGTGTATTTCTGCGAAGCTTGACATGTGCAAATTTTCCTCAGAAGATCAGATAGATCATTCACTTCACTGACGGCACATCAGACTGGCCGTAGAGAAAGAATTCAATATCTTTTACTCTGGCGTGGACAAATCCGGGGTTATATCGACAAAAAGGTGCCTCTGTAACTCGAAAGGAAAACTGAATAAAATGGGTAGCCAGTGGATAGCCATGTACTGTAATAAGTCTATTAAAACTCAGTAACACAACAGCTTCTGTGGCTAGTTGTATTAAAAATGACAAACCTGAAGAAGATTTTGCAAAAATCTAGTGAACATATTATGCATTTTATAACCGCTGATGCATGGTTCTGTTTCCTCCGTTAAATTAATTGAGAAGAATTAATGAAGGATTGAAAATATTGATATACTGCGACTTCTGAAATGATCCACTGAGATAATCTAAGAAAATTATGTCTCAGATTTCTAAGCACATTCTTGTAATTGTTGTCATTGCTGTAAGATATGAAATTTACTCCTCATACCAGTATATTAAAGCGTGTATGGATTCTGTTTTTCGTGGACTTTTTTTAATGATTTAAAAAATCAGTTGCCTTTTTCTTCCTAGTCATCCTTGTCGACATACTCAGTATGAATAAATTCTTGTAATTTTTTTCTTTATAGGCGATGGGAAGCTTTCGTCCGCAGAACTAGGATTGGCATACTACTTGGATGAAATTGCTCCCCAGAAAAAGAGGCGGTAATGGAGCTGTGCGATATATTTTTTGGTATAGGCGGAGCCACCTGTACAAGACGGTCCTGATCCTGAACTTGTTGACACTAGTTGTCCATGCAATTCACATCCTTAAAACAGCAGCGATTATGTGACTGAAGGATCATAGTTGAATCTCAGGCATAACACATTATCAACAAATTCTTAAACACCACCTGCTTTCTCTTAAGCACACTGCCTGTTAAAATAACAACCTTTGGTATGAAAAGATTGATTGATTGTTATTCTGCTCCAGAAAAACCGTTCCGTTCTTGTAAAAACCTTTGGATAATTCTATTGAACTCTGATCGTTCTTCGATGAAAAAGCGTTCAGAGGACGCTCAGTCTCTCTAAATCAATTAAACCTTCTTTTTCGCTCAAAGCCCTCGGAAATAAATGTGGTCAGTGCGTTGCGAAATCGGACTTATCATTCGCCGCTTTATAATAATTAGCAGTAGTTATTAATGGCCGGAAAAAAATCTGGCCTGCAACAGGGAAGGATTAAAAATTCGGACAGGCTGAGCGTTCATTGATCGAGGAACTAAATAATACTAGTGAGAGCTAAAATTGTATTGAGACGGTATTGGATATCTTCAATTCAGAATATATTGGTTCATTTTTTTTTGGCGGTGCGGTTTTTCCATTCTTAATTTACTGGTCAAGGAGTAAAATTCACACATCTTGGTATATTTATATCTCTATCAAAGTTTCACATCTAAGAGATCCGGAAATGACGGTATTTTGAAAATTCAAATTGATAAGACTGTCTCTCTAACAATGTTCTTTCAATAATAATTAATTTAACTTAGCTCTTAATCCAAGGATATCTTTTTGGTATTATTTAATAAATTCAACTCACAAACTAATGCGCCTGGTGTTGAACAATGAAAGCATGCGTAATATAACAAGCGTATAAGGAATATTTAGTCATCCGTCTTGAATGAACTATTCTCTTTGAAGATGATGACCCGTGACTGAATAAATTTCAAAACAAATGTACGTAAGTTGACAAACCCATTCAAAATTTGTGTCCCTTTGAAATAAGTATTCCTTTTTATTCGCTGGATACCATTAGTACATACAAATCAATCCTCAATCCATATTACTCGAACTATACAATATCTAGAATGAGTTTTGTGGAATATATATATTTTATATTAGATAATGCTTGTAAACATAATTTTAATTGAATCTTGAAATAATTGTCCGGTTCCAGAGGGCCGGAGATACCGGTACATGTACACGTAAGCGAGTTCGGTTATCTGCAGGAAATGGTTTCTTTTTATAAAATCTTTCTCAATTTTCATGTCCAAAATCAAGAGGACAAATGATAATCATAAACTTTGAACCACATGTAGCAGTATAGTTATTTAAACTGATAGAGCTAATGCAATGTCAAAGTTACCTTTCATTTGGTTTCTTTTTCCTTGAAAGAAGAACATTATGAACTTGAAGGTTATTATTAATGTGACGGCATGAAAACACATAATAGCTTGGCCTTAACGAGGTTCTTCTATACCAAATCGATATAAAAGCACGCGAAGAGAATATGATAAAGGTAGACACAGAGCTACACGTAGGACGTACAGGGGTACCAGAGATGCTGAAATCTTTTGAGCCATAGACTACCAAAGCCATTCCAGCATACAATTTTTCTACATTTTTTGGCTCCTTTACATTATAACATTGCTGGATGCAAGGTTTCAATGATGGTAAAAAATATAGTAGTGAAATTGATAAAATGGATATTAAAAAATCTTTATTTTGTCTTGGCATTCCTTCCTCACGTCTTACATCTTCTAAATGTAGATATTTACATACAGTTACTATCACACGGACACTGCTAAGTATGGCCTCTTTAACACATCGGACTTTATATAGTTGTTCCTATTGACAAACGCATCGAGTTACATTTAATATTCACGGTAAAAAAATATATATCATTTTTCTTTCCCACGCAGCGCAACTGATTACTGCTAATTGATTCCGAGTACGTCAAATCCACTTGTAAACCGCCCCCTTAGTTGCAAGGATAAGCAGGGATTATCTTAGAACTAGAGGTCGCTTACGTCATTTATCCGGTGCCACATGAATAATCCGTTCTCGTGGACAACCCGCTCTGACGGATTATTGATGCAGGGCTTAATAAATTAATAAATCGCCGTCGTTCACTGTTCATGCTGCCTACCTAATTGTTGTTCTGGTAATTTTCTCAGTTTTTAAATTTTAATCAAAATTAAATTCTCTTCAAGTTCTTTGAATTGACCAGTGAGACTACAGCGCATTTTCATCCCAGAGATGTTCTCGGCTCTCAACTAGCGTAAAGTTTCAAGTAAAACATATTTTAATTAGTAAATCAACTGAATATACGACTTCAGCTTATTATTTTGGACACAACACATTTTAATTAGAAAGATACACGCGATTAATGGTTTCTCTGTAGATTCAGTGAAAAGATAGGATGGATTAAATCCGGATTATTTTCGACTTCCAGAAGTGATCTATTTCCCACGATTTGAACGAGGGGTTATTTAGGTAAGCAGTTCGGTATCAATATGAGACGGAATTTAAACCTTGCTGGCTCAAGGTTTACTACAAGGAGTCAATGAGCTTAATATACGTACTTGTATGCTTTAATGGAAATCATGGGGGATGAAATGACCTTTAAAAAAGGTGCATTTGTCGTTCCGACACGCATAATTGTTAACAGCAACGGGGCTTGCAGAACTACTTCATTCATTAGCTATTTCTCAGGCACATGCACCCCCCCTCCAAATCACTTTTAGTTGGTCCTTTTTCATGTATGATACTAAATATCGCTTAACTATATTTCTGAATACAATTTTCTCCAACTACTTAATTATCCCTTACTTTGATTGAACTTTTAATATATCGCTTTGAAATACTAAATACAGACTGACCATAACTCAAAATTGATTACTTCATTTTTTCTCAATTGACCTGAAAGATAAAAAAATGATTCAGAAATCACATCATATGTCTGTTCAAAGACCCCGTTAGTGACTCATAAACCAGATACAATACTATAAGGTCCATCTAATTTTTCAAATAATTACCAATCAGTCTACGTAATTGCACAAAGAACCATTTAGCACTATCTGTGCGCCTTTTTCACAGTCACTTCAGTCCCGCGCGATGATTTACAGCACTGATGATGATAATAAATAGGCAAGTTGCTACTATCAATTATACAGTATAATTTCTACCGCCGCTAAAAGTCTGCCAAGATAATGAAGAAGAATGCAGTTACTTGCACTGATGGCTTTGGCATGTCTTTCAATTAAGAATGCAGACCTATTTATCCAGTTTAAAAAGGAAGACAAACCATATGGCACGAAGAGCGCCATTTCACAAAATCCACTTCCACTCGACTAACCTGATTTAGGCCCCATTCAGAATAGGGGACTTACTAGTCTGAGGGTCAAATATGGCAACTCACTACAAAGCTTACCTTCTAATCCGCTAATAGACACTGAATAGATATCCTGTAGGAAGGTATTCTAGTGGGTCGGCCATATTTGACCCACAGACTAGTTTAGTTAGTCCCCTATTCCAAATGAGGCCTTACAGATCTTGTTTCTTTATATTCGAACTTACACAAGTGCATTCAGAGACGTGCTTCATTTGGGTTTACCGCGCCAATAACAAAAGTTCTTTCAGTTTTAAGGATTCCTTGGTGAAATAGATCACGTGACCTAGTTAACAGACCCTCTTACATTTGTGATTTGTTCGATAACATCCAATCAAACACCACCGAAGTTCAGACGAGACAAGTGGATATGTATGGAAGTTTGGAAATGAAATGGCTGAGCTGGCCCACTTTTCGGCTGTAAACCTCGAGCAACGTCCTGTCTGCCCCAAGTTCGAAGTTCGGAGATTTGCTTGCTTCCATCAACTTTACGATAGAAAGTAGGTATCATGTTTTCCAAGGGTCACAGTCAACAAACAAAATATTAAATTATCCAAGTAAGCATTGAAAACTAGTTTCGGTAAAACGATGCAATTCTCTCTCTCTCTCTCTCTCTCTCTCTCTCTCTCTCTCTCTCTCTCTATATATATATATATATATATATATACTTATTTATTACAGTGAGCCAACGTATTTATTACAGTGACCCAACAGGTGTACAGTATATCCGAAAATTTTAGTTGCAACACTACTGGGTTGTGATTACAAACTGCGCACCATATTTCATTTTAGCGCATTGTTTGCAGCACTGGAGGAAAGAAAAAAAAAAAAAAAAAAAAACAGCAGAGTTGATTTAGCCGGCTTGGCATTGGTTATAGATCAAAGTCTGTCTGGGGAAAGGTAATAAAAGGCATTTTATCAGTGCTAGATGTACGTAAGAACGCAAATAGACTAAGAATGTGTAGAGAGATGCCCCTCAAAGATGATGACTCTCAGGAGACCACATTAATTCAAGCCAGGAAAGTCCATTTTTGTTCCAAACTGTGATTTTGGTTTTATACTGTATCCTCTGTAGTTACATGTATCAGTTATGACAATGAGAGCGAGTTGCTGCAGATCAGCCGCCCTGCATAGCTAGGCCTTGGGCTAAAAAGCATCCTCACAGAATGATTGAGGAGTTACCACCGTGCTTCAGACTATTATATCACTTATGTGGTAAATATATTTCGTCATTTGGTGACGTCACCGACAAATTAACCCAGACGAACAGAATTGTTTTTTTTTTCGGACCCCAGAATCAGGGATATAACATAACCTATGCTAAATATATAATACCACTTGATTTATTCAGGTAGAACACAAAACAACACTAAGAGATCCCAGCGGTAGATCTTCAGCCATACTGTACAGACCGATAAAAGCCTCCAGTGGTAGTATTTCGAGTGCGTAAATCTCCAAGAAGAAAAAACGCACAGAAAAAATGGAATCGTAAATCAATATGTTGGACGTCTCGATTGCCCATAGATACTGTGTACGCGGCAAACGTGTCATGTCGGTTGATCGTTATGGATTGAGAAATGAGAACATCTACACAAGCTTGTTCGTGGCGTCCCTGAAACGATTCAAAGCCCCCCCACACACACACACAAAGGGGACTAATATGTAAGAGCAACGTGGTAGCTATAATTGTGCTAGGACAGCTAACATTTGACTAGCATTAACATTACTTTTGTTTTACAAAATAAAATAATACTATTAACAAATAATTAATAACACATTAATTAAAAATCTAGTTTACTGGAGGAAAATGTTTTAAAATCAATGCACGTGCACTTTTTGTGAGCCGAGCTCAGCGTGTCTTTTTTGTACAATTCAAAAAAGTAATAACAGACCACCAGGTACAACAAAAATAAATTATTTTATTCTTTTCGTATCAGTGAGCTTGACACAAACTTTTGTATACATCGGTGGACAGTTTACGACTTCACTTACGCCTAGGTTACATTCGCCTTGTCCGTATGATGCACGTACACTACCCGTAAATTACTTTTTTGTGCGGCGTTCGTGAAGAGAAAGAAGAAGGCGGTGGCCGTGTGAAAACGACCTCCGTAGCCTCCACGATTTTGTCGAGCTGATTCTGATTTTGTGTTTCCAAATTCTAACCACGTGGGTTTTTAAATCTTAGGGCGGCTACACATACAACGTATTGCCCTTTCAGGAAGTCGTAAGGAGTGTAAACGGCATAAGCATGGACTAAACGGGCTCCGTATGGTCACTTTTCCTGTTTTAACTGTTTAATCATATTCACACAAAAGATTGTACATGATTTCCATCCTACGGCGCCCGTGGCAAAAGTAATCCAGGCTGTTTTCGTTTTCCATCCACAACAACGGGGCACCGCTTCCTAGAAATACTTGCTTTGACAACATGTAATACTTATCACACAACAGAAACGTATTAACGCTCGCTTTAACAATACATGGCGAGATATACCATCCACGTTTATTATAACTGGAACGCTGAAACCAGCACCAATACAAAATATTACATAAATACCATATGAAAGAAAATGGTGTTAGCCAGCTGAAGTCAATAATGATTCCTTTCATCAAAACAGATATTGCACATTGTTCACAATTTTAATCATAACTTATAATTCAATCTAAAATTTTCAATATGCACACTCCACTGGCCATCTTATCAGCAGGATAGATCGTAATTCCACTGGCAGAGCCAAGATTTTTCTAAGGTGCGCAGGGCGGGGCGGGGCGGGGCGGGGGGGGGGCTGAAACCTATTGGCTCAATTCGCTCACAAACATAAAACGAGAAAAACTGCAATTTTACTGTAATATGTGAGGCACAGAAATGGGAAATCAGCTTGGGTTTGTCTGCCTTTATTTGGTCTACCGTCTTTGGGAGGGAGAAGGGAGCAGGGAACCTAAGAAGCTAAGGGAAGGGCTCTCGCTGGTGGTGCCCTCTTCTGGATCTTCCCTTGAACTTACATCTGCCCTACTTCACTAGCTAATTCAATCAGTAATTTTTCAATAAGAAAATGGACATAAAAATGAAAAACTAGATTTTGTGACACAATTAAATATTGGAAGAAAAAGCCATATGTATGAATACATTGACCAGTCAGAACCCTCTCCTGTGCTGGAAAGAAATAATTCTTGGCAGTAGAGAGAGAGAGTGCTGGCTAAATTAGTCATCTCTTAAAACAGACTCTTAAACTAGAAATACAATAAGAACACATCAAAAAGACCTGAACCATTCTTTGGAGAACTAATATTTCCACAAGAAATACTTGAAAAAATACAATATCAAGATTGTTCTTAAAAACAACCCAGCATTACTTTGACAACTACCGATAGTAAAGCAAATCATTTATGGAATCATCTTTGTTCTTGGAGGTCTTCTTTGTCTGTTTCCCATACACAAATTGATAATTGTCTTCCAGCTGACTGTGTTTCTCTGCTTCGTCTACAGCATCAGTATCCGTTCCCTTTGAGAAAGAAAAATAAATGGCTAAATATAAATAATACACACCTTTAACAAAACAATTTCTCTTTCTTAACTGCTTGTTTAACAGTTTTCCATTTTGTCTCCAGTGTGACGAGTCAGATTAAGTGTTTTGGTTCAACTATTAACTTGCAAGAATATTTAAAATACATAAAAAAGAGTATGAAAAACAGAACGACATGAAACAAACACAGAAGACTCACAGTGTCAGAAGACATTATCTTATATTTTATATTAAAAACATGGTGTCCTGACCTAAATGATGATGGTAATCTTTAATATGGAATCAGAGCACACAATTAAAACAGCATTCATCAATTTATTATCTGCATAAAACCATTAATCAACAGGCTCTTCACGCACTGTGCATTCAGATTGCATGTAAATGATAATTAAGTAGTAAAATGTGAAAAATCTTCACCTTTTAGTATGCATTTGGGTCATTGATTTATTTTGAGAAAAAAAACATTAATTTAATCAAATCTTACCAGTTTCTTGTTAAAATCTTTCAGAAAAAAATTAAGCCAAAAGTGTCAATGGATAAATACGCAGAATAAGGATCTCTGTAATAATAAATTGAGTTTTTAAAAACTAGTGCTGCCATTTCCAATCAAAATTGAGAGGTACACAATTCAACAAACAAATCAAGACAGTATTCAAAATTCTTATCCCAAATCTATCTTTAGAAAAAATTAAGGTAATACCAAGGGAAAAAACAGTATTTATGTTAGCTTCTGCTGTTACTGTACTAGGTATAATGAATCATCAGCTTAATTTTGTCTTCAATTTTCTCTGAATACTGAACTTCTAAAATTATTCTTCAGCTTTGTTTTTCATCCAATTCCCACCTCTAGCCCTGTGTGTAGTTAATATTGCATGGAGACTGACCAAACCAGGTAAGTTAGGGCAAAGAACCGGTGCTCAATGAGGCATTGAAAAACCAGAAACAGGTAGTAAGTGATCTGTCCTAATAGAGTGACTGATTGTCTTCAGGTCATAGAGGAGACTTAACTTCTCTTCAACACCACAGGCTTTATGTTGTGTTGTTACAAAATATGGTGAGAGTTTAAAAAGTCCCAAGGAACAAGTTTTAAAATAAAGGCAAGCCTTGATTAAACCCTAAGGGAAAAGAATAAAGTAATTGCCCTCTGATGCTTGAGAAGAGTAGTTATAAGTAAGACTCCATTCCCATTAAGAGACCAATGGTCTATATGGATCCACCCAAGTTTGCAGGGATTCTCACTTAGTGCAAGCTTAAAGATTAACAGGTTTCCCCCTGGCGTTAAGTAGGATACAGAAAAGCTAGTTATTATACAAGTTGGATAGAACCACAAAGAACTATGGTGTCTTTAGGGGTGATAAAGCGAAGGATGTCAAATTTTCCAGAAAAAAAAAAAGCTATATACGTAAAGGTCTTATGCTGTGTACTTTAAAATCAAACAAACTGTATAGTCAAGAGAGAGTGCTATAGGACAGAATCAAATCCAGAATAGGGGTTAAGCTTGATAAAGGGGATAACAACTCTTCAAATGAGAATAAAATTTCCACAATAAATAAATTGCAAACAACACAAACAGGTATAATAAAATTCATCTTATTTTACCACCAAAATGGCAGCAATCGTCATTATTCTGAAAATTGTGCTTGCCATTGGACCACATGGACCTTCATAGACGGCTACTTTTTGAAGTAACCTCTTACAAAAATCACACTTTAAAAAAATACAATGGATTAACTTTGAATGTTGGAATGGATTCATTAACAATTGGGAAGTATGGAAAAATTGTCATTTACTCCAGGAAAGTCAGTTTTATGGAAATGAAAGTGTTGTCAAACCTTTAAAGCCCTAGAAGGAAGAAAAAAAAGAAAAAAAAAAAATCCCACAGCCATAACAGATCAATATCTAGGGTTTGACTCTCTATAAACCTATTGCTGAAATAAGTCATTTCCACTGTGAAGATACCCTTCATCTACTTACCAATATTGCAATGACCATCTTGTTAATAGCCTTGCTGTCGTCATCAGATAACATATGGATGGAGTCGTCATCTGCATTATAATATCCAGTAGTGATGATCTTCACTTCTATTTTTCTTCCTGAGGATGTAAAATAAGTCACAATGAAATACTGTGGACTAATTTCGAATTGCTGCTTTTGGGTGGAGATGGTTTATCCACAATGTAACTTAAGACGGCAAGCTGATTTTGATTTTAAACCAAAATTAAAGTCAAATCTGACCTAAAACAAACAAGTAGTAGTCTAAGGCTCTATTCCCATAGATTTTAGATCGATCTATCCCCTCACTAGATTACTTTCAGATAATCCGACTTAAATGTCCGTCCCGCCTACTACAAGCTGTAAGGGGGTAATTAACTTTCGTGTCCGCCCGGCTGACAGCTATTTAGCGTGAACCCCCAGGGAGTTAGGTCGACCTAAAGTAGGTCAATCTAATCTATGGAAATGGGGTGTAAGTGAACTACACAACTGCCACAATCATAGATCAATACTTCCTTTATTTGTATTTCTTTGAACACTGAAAGTATGTTGTGAATTGGAAGTGGTTCTGAATCATTTTTTTCTATAAGCAAAGCCCAAATTTTGTTCCAAAATTTTTATTGTGAAGCTGGCCCCTGGTGTAAATCAAACTAAAACCTGGCCGTACTCCTTGTACAGCTCTAACTGCTTCACTTAGAACTGCCTGTGTCCACAAACTGTCTGACTGTTGTCTAGTAAACTATGCAAGTCACTGCGACACACAATATGTTGGCGTAATTTAAGAAATTAATGTTATTGCTGTAGCATCTCTCTACCTCTCAAATACAATGGAGTAGGCATAATCTCTAAAATGCATATATTGATTTACCTGTACAAATAATCATATCTGAACCATGATATGTAGTCTGTGTTTACTCTTGATAAGCTGCAACCTAATTATTATCTCTGTCAATTAATGATGATTCTGAATGAGATAGACTATCTAACATTATTGGGCTTTATGTCTTTGATATTTGACAGCCCAAATATTTAAGTGAGCATCTTTTAAAGCATAGGGCATCAAGTGTATAGAGTCCTTGTGTTTAAAGAAGCCAAACAATAATTCTGTCTTTGTGCATTGCAAAGCAAGGATATTTTAGCCTTTAGTTTTATATATTTTATATATACAGGTACAGGACATGAGTAAAATAATGCAAAAATGTCGCTGTTATTTTGAAGTCATCAGATAAGGTTTTTTTTTATGTATTTCAAGTTCAACCAACATCATTGCATTTATTTTCAGGAACTAAACATTTGTTAATTGTTTATTTATCATTTTCACTTTTCTTAATATTCTAGTTTCACACAATGGTTCTGTGGCATATGGTTTGCATTTGGAACGGTTCTCAGGTGTTGGAAAAGACTAACAATTTGGATGACTTGCTAGTGGCTTCGGACTGTTAATTTGAATTTTCCATTAAAATAAAATAGTAAGTTCATTGAATGTTGCCTGGACTTTTCTGAGACAAATTTGTGTTACATAGGGGACTACTTCTCTTTCTAGTTTTTCTAACGTACTCAAAATCAATATGCATTATGAATTCTTATAAAAGTCTTAAATTTGTCACATTTAAACATAAATTGAACCTGTATTTTAAGTAATTTCTTTCATTATTATCATTATCATTAACTTTCATCTGAAATATTATACCTGACCAAAATTACAGACAAATCAGACCTAAAAAAGTTTTAAAAACATAAAGCAGACCAGAATGAGAAACAAATTACTACTGACCCCCAGTATCAAATCCTGCTTTCTGCAGCTGTTCCTGTATTCCAGACTGGAGCTTTTGTGTCACAGGGTCTAGAGCACTGTCTTGGGGTTTTCTTTTCCCAGACGTGACTTTAACACGCCATCTGTCTTCTCCTTAAAATCCATAAAAAATTTTTAATTTAAATATGTTATGAATTCTTTATCACATTACTGACTTTGTCCTGAAATTTATTAACCAGGGATTCTTTAACATGTCCAAAAGTCAGCTACAAGTTATTTCTTTTTTTCTTCTTGCATGAGGAAAGTAGATGGATGACAAGTAGAATACTAGGTATGAAGATACACAATCAAAGGACAGGTAGCTAAGAAGGCAGGTCTACAAAAAAGTGAGTGTAGTTTCACGTCATTATTAACTTCTAGTTCACAACACGTGGTGACATAACATCTTTACTTTTATATTGTTATAGTGCATAACACAGCTTGACAAAACTGCTGGATGTAAAGTTCTGTTCTTTCAGTGGTTAAAAAACAGTATGATGAACTGTATGCAAAAAAATAAAATGGCCGCCCTACCTTTGCTCTGACGGTCTTTTGATTTAACTGCTGACTCAGGGGTCTCCAACTTGTCTAAAAAGAAAAAGAAAAAGATAATTAAACTGATGTTTTACTTTCAGTGCGATCTTGGGGTGGGGGTTATATTCCATTTGATAAGGTCTTATAAAGGCTTGTCAAAAAATATATATTTCTAATGGCACAAGTGCACCCAAGTTCTACACTATGTTTCATGTGTATTCCATGCCATACACAAAGCTGTGTTACAGTACAGAGATATTAATGACCTACCTGTCTCCTCAGGTGGTTGGTCATCCAGTCTTTTTAACAGCTTGGTCAGTGTAGTGGACAGACTCTGAATGGCAACGTCTCTGTCCAAACCTTGGACATCCTCTCCCTCTCCGGCCAGCTCACGCTCAGCCTGGAATACCAAGTCATTCAAACAATATAAAAACAATTTTTAAAGTGACTTTATTTTATGTTGGCAGTGTTCAGGTCAGGGCTTGACATTCCTACTGACATCATCTGAATGGCACAGGTGATTTCTAGAATTGGGCAACTAGAATTAAAGTCATGCTTATCCAGAAATGCATGGCACATGTTAATAGAACAATGGAATGTCTGATGTAAATTGGATTTTAGAAACCCCCCAACAATTTGATAATTTTAATCCCTCCCCTCTCCAAAATTCCAAAAAGTTTGATTTTGGAGTGGGGCAAGTAGATTTTTAGACTTACTTGCCCAAAAAAGTGCCTGAAAATAATTTATGTCAAGCCTTCCTGATAAGAAAAACAAATAAAACAGCATTGTAATATCAATATAAAGTGAAGCAAACTTTCCACCTGCTGGTCTGTGTATAAATCATAATGTTACTTCTAATAAAGTTAGGATCAACATAAATCTCTCCCTCCCCCACATTTCATCAGGCTGTCAAAAAGAAGCCAGAAATATGATTTCATTTACTAAAAGTATTTCATTTTTTTTTGCACCAGTCATTTGTCCAATGAAAGTATGGGAAATAATTATAACAATAATTATAGCAAACACTGAGACATCTGCACTCATGTTACTAGTACACAGATGACACTGTGAAAATAGTGCCTCACAGCTTGAGCCTCTTACCTCATCTACAATATCATTAAATTGGGCTGACATAGCTTTACGAATGTCTTCTTTTCTATTTGCTACCCATGCCATATCATCAGCGCCAAGACCAAGATCCTCCAAACCTGGGATTAAAATAAAACACAACTATGTTTATATCAGATATTAATCAATGTTCTCTGAGAAAGAGGACTTTGACAGATATTCTGATATTTCTGCAAAAGGAAGACTGATTTATACCATACAGCATTTCAATTTTGATTAAAAAAGTGACTGGATTCCTAGTCCAACTTAAGGAGACTATGCCACTTCAGCTATGTCAAATTAAGCTTAAAACAATCGTCATACTTATTTTTACTTCTATACAAACAATTTTCAGAGCAGAAGAAGAAATGATGACTGAATGGCATTATTCTAAGCTGTGACTAACCTTTAGTAAACTGCTCCTCTGTGGCATCTGGATCTTCTTCCTCCTCTTCCACCTCACCCTTTTCACTTTTTCCACCCTTTTTCATATTTTTGTTAGCTTTATTAATAACTTTCATCAAATTTTTGTAAAATTTCTGGGTCTCCTCGTCCATTTCACCCGAAATGTCATCCTCACTCTCGGAGTTCACATTCTGACCACCAGGTGTCTCTGAAGGCTTCCCTTGCTCTGAACTTGGTTGAGGTTCTGGAATGTCTTGATCCAAGACTTGAGCATCTGTTCCACTTTGTTTTGATTGCTGACCATCCACAACTGCCTCGTTTCCCTTGCCAATTTCCTTGTTAAGATCATGATTAATCTGATTATCACTTGTGATTTGTCTTTCTTGATTGTCACTTTCATCTTCCTTTTCCTCATCTTTCACGGGACTATCTACTTTCTGAGCTTGACCTGATGTGTCTGCTTTATTCTGAATGCCGAAGTATTCTGATACAAATTGTTGAAAGTCAGCCATATCCTTGATCTCCCTGAGTTCTGGTACTTGAGAACCTGAAAGATTGGTCAAATAACATTATGTTAGTTATCTATATGTGAAACAAGGGATCCAACAGTATTTCCCCTGCAACATTTTGTCTCATTTAACGTCACTTAGGTTCTCAATCTGTCTAAGAACATAATTTTTTTTATTTAATGAAAACTTTCCTTAATCTGTTCTTGGACATTCTGAAGGACTTCCCCTATACAGTTCTCGAACTATTACATTAATTATAGACCAACATTAGAACTGTATAAAAAATACACCAAATGTTCTATAACTGATTGAGAATCATAAGTGAATGTCAAATGAAACAAATTTTTGCAGGGGCTGATATCGATGCAGGGGGGGGGAAAGACAATTCACAATGAAGCCCCTTGGCCAACAGCTAATCCTTCCAGTATTACCGTTAAAGATGCATACAAAGTCAATTTATTGTCACAAAAACCAACCAAATGCCAGCATATAGTTTCAAGTAGTATAACTAAGAGAATTACCAAAATGCATTGTTTCATTTTACCCGAAAATGATGTTTGAACGGATTTTTCTGCTGGCATTCTAAGCTGTATGTCAATGGGGCAGGAAAGTAGGTCACGAAAATAGGTTAAATTTACAACCAAAAATTTAAAGAAAGGAGCAGTCTAAAGCTCTTTTATGGCTGATCGAGTGATCTATTCAGTTTATCCCTTGGCATGTCAAATTTATTTGAGTCATATAAGAATCTAGTAGAAGTGGTTTACATGTGTTACTGGGAATCCACACTCCAACGATGCTCGGTTCGTATGTACCTTTAAGAAAATATTTTACAATTCCATAAAAGTATCATTGAAAAGCAACTTTACCAATGCCAAATTGTTTCTCAAACTTCTTAGTCAATACATCTGTCAAAATTTTCCTAAGTTTTGGCTGCAGTGTGTTCTGGTCCTCTGTGACAGGGGGTGGGTCTGTCTTCTCTGCATCTTCAGAGGCTAGATATAATAACAAACATTATAACTCAATCAATTCCTGCTTTAGAATATAATATTATGTTTTTGTGTTATTATTTATTATCATAAATAAACCATCACGAACACTTGTTTGATAGCCTGCTTTGCAGTATGAGTGAGTTTAAAATTAAGCGATATGTCCAAAAATACAATTCTGAAAAATGTATGCTGAGAAAAAAAAAAAAAAGAAAGAAACTATATAATTTAGAAAATGACTTACACTTGGTAACTTTAAAAGTGTCTCATGATATGTGATGCATTGCTAAATGAAATGTTCTGTTCACTTTACTGTTTCGATCAGTTCAATGTAGAACTGATCGTAAGTACTGGATAATACATGAAACTGTTTTTATGCAGCACTGTCAAATTCTTCATACATATATGCAGCACAGTCACTTGTACATATATAATAATGAATTTTTGCTGATAATCCCTTGCACTTTCTTTTATTTTTCAATCATTTATACCCCTTATAAAAATCAATATCCTATAAATTTCATCTTGAGTATTATATTAGAGCGATTAATTGAATTTGTTCAAATCCTTTTGAATTGTGGGGTAGAAATAAATTCATCCCTTTGATAAAATATTCTTTTCTTGTAAAACAAACACAACCTGCTAAAGGTGTCCAATGAACACTGAAGCAACTTAAGTGAGGAAAAGTCCATATTTGTGTAAAAGAAAACATTACGATAGTTTAAATTCCTACAGCATCCACTTGGAGGTTCAAAGTTGAATGCCAAACTTTACCGTCTTGTTGTAACTTCTCCATCCTTTCCATCTCTTCCTCAAGCTTTTGCTTTTTCTTCTCTGCCATTTGCAAAGCCAAAATGTGCTTCAGCTCTTCTGCTTTTCTTTGCTCTGTAATTTGCAACAAATGAATATCAAGACAACTAATCAACTTTATTTAAAAGATATATAATGTTTTATGTTTCTGGTTCAAACTATTTAGGTTTCTGGTTCAAACTTATTAATATGTCTCTTTGAATTGTTGATTATTTTCAGAAAAGGATACACGACCGATAATTTATGTTTGAAAACCTCAAACTAAGTAGACATTTTTAGTTAATAAGTGATACATGAAAATAATGAATATTGTAAATTACAGGTTCAAATAATATAATTGTAATAACAGAGAAAACATGTTTACATATATTCTCTTTTCAATGCATTGGAAATGCAATTTCCATGTTACATAGTTAACATACACTTATTATCTATTTTTTTTTAATTTCAGTTCAATATCTATTTCAATAATACAACTTAATCATTAAAGAGCACATACTTTCAATTTAAAAAGTTCTTCTACTCTACACTAAATAACATTCTGCAAGTTAGGTAGAACCCCGTATATGACATGAGGCAATTGCCAGTAACATGTACAAATTGTCCATTTAAACATGATGTTTCTCTATTATAATGATCATAACTTGCACCATTCAAGACTCTCTTACTCTCTTGTTCCTGTGTGTATTCAGAGTACTGCTCATCAGTCAGCAGTGGATTACATGTAATTGGTAATGGTTTCTGTGAGCTAGGAGAGCGCAGGTAGGGGTGGTGGCAGATCTTGTTGGTGTGGACCACTATGGTGTACACGCAGGTCTGGGGCTCATGGACGCTCACCACATGGTCCCCTGTGCCTTCGTCACAGAGAAACTGGTAAATGAAAATGTGTTGTCTGTTACTTGATTTTTTTAAATTTGTTGCCACTGAGCCTTCATCACCTAGAAGTTGTGAATCTATAAATTTTTAATATTAAAATATTTGACTTCCTCATTTTGAAAATCGTTTCCACTTCGCCTTTGTCAAAACAGTCCCTCCATATAAAAACTGGTTAAACAGAGTATGCTCTCTTAAACATTATAACCTGCACTGTTTCCAGCTGTAATTGGATTACCAATCATGTTATTGTGACCAGTCATATTTGGCACCTTTTTACCAGGGCATTTAGCATGCATATATATATATGTATAAATAAATAAAATAAAAAAAAAAAAAATATATATATATATATATATATATATATATATATATATATATATATATATATATCGGAGAATAAAGTCAATACAAATGAAAAAGTGCTCCACCCATGGTGGCGGCCCGTGGGGAGCTAGTATAAAATCAAGGATACGAAAAATTAAAATAATAAAATGGAGAGATAAGTCTAATTTATTTGTATCCTTGATTTTATAATATATATATGACAGTATAATAACTTACCCTGACCTCTGACCTCCTGGGGACCCCAGTGAGGTCACAGTTGGAGCCATTCACATACTGCTGACTGTGGTAACGGTTTAGTCTGTTCTTGGCATCCTGGAAAGATTTTGTCATTATAACAATTACTTCAAACAGATGAAACAAAACTGAGTGCTTCTTGTGTATTTTCTGCTGAAAAAAATGAGACTTGCAAATGATAAAAATACTACCAATGTACAGACTCCTTTTAACTTTCCCAATTTTAGAAATTACATTATTATATTTATTAAATAACAAGACTATTAAATATAAAGACATGGCCTTATATATAAAAAAAATTCCTTCTGGCAAAAAAACAACAAACAGAAACAATAAGAGTACTAGATAGCAACAATGGCAACCAAAGTTAAATCAACAAAAGGCACTGAACAGCATATTACAGCATTTATTAATAATTTGTTTATTTCATAAATTTTCTGGCAGGGAAATGACAACATCTATTACATCACTTGAGAATGTTGTACATGTCTGAAAGTCATGATTTAGTACATTTGGTCAGTACTTGTGCCACTTTTAATATATTTAATGTGTTCATAGATACTATAATTACCTTTTTAATAGTTTCATTGTTCCAGTCAAATTCAGACTCATAATGACCTAGAAATATCTCTATACCAACTGGTTTACCATCTGAAAGTAAAAATGGCTATTTAAGAACTGGGGTTATACAGCTGTATACTTCCCCTCTGTGAGATTTCTGCCTGTACATGTATATCTTGGAGATCAACTTTACAAGCAACAGCATTTGTAAAACAGAGAAAATATATTTAGGAGCAGTAAAGTAGTTCAGGCTGGAAAGATTAAAAACACAAGTTATCAATTTTAAATATACCAAACTTAAAGAAACCTTTACACTAGCTTCGCAGATACTTGTTGCTACGTACCCTGTACATTTTAAACTTTTTTTTGCAGAAATCTAAAAAAATGTAGAATTGTTGTGGTAACCATTGCACCTCAACAGAATCATTCAAATCCCAAGAGGTGTGATCTAAACATATGACATGTCTACTTATTATGTACTTTAAGGGCTGTGCATACTTACCTTCCATATGGTATTGTTTTATAAACTTCCCATAGCAAAACTCATATGTCCACCAATCCTTTCTCTGAAAATGAAAATTCCTTTACTAATATGTGTTTTGTTTGATAATTACAATTCTCTGTGTACCAAGTACATTTCACAAAGTCATTTAAATATTTGTACATAGCCAAGTAATGATAAACAGATTCCATAAATTTTAAGAAAAGGTCCATGCTTTAGTTTTTTGACTAAAAACATTATTGTAATGGTTTAGAAATCAAGAAATCATAAAAAAAGAAGAAAGAAGATGCAGGTTTGCAATGCAACCAAATAACTCCTTACATAAACCAAGCATGGACTGTTCTCCAATGGACGTAGCAACTCTGGAATCCCAGTCTCAATGGCAATTTTCTCTTCTTCCTCTTTCTGTTTCTCCTGCTGTGAATGGTCTGGAAAGCTACACTGATACTGCTGGCCATGTTTGGAGCTCAGCACCATCACATCGCCATCTGCAGCCTGAAGGGGAGGTTTATAACTTCAATTTCTGACAGTTGAATTTGATGCCTCGCATTGCCTTTACATATTCATTCATTTTTAATCTTTTACATATCTGCCTATGGTGCCAGATTCCTTGCTTTATATAAACAAGGTGTAAGTGCTAGATTCTTTGTTTTAGCTATACCAGTTGTGAGTAGTTTTCATTACTTGTGTGAGTAGCGCGCCTGTTTTGAATGTTACCGAGTCATAACGCTACAGGATTTTGTACAAGAAGGGTCTCTCCTGCAGTTAACCGTATTTCACAACATAGTATGGTGTATTGTACATAACAGTTCAATGGAGAAATCATAATATTATGTACCATGATGACATGATGACATGCTGAAATGCTACTTGCTGATATGTTGACTTGTCCATTTGGAAATATAAAGCTTGAGTTACATAAACTCTCTGTTGTCTCAATGATTTCACAGTGGAGCTACAGCCGTATTTACATCAATGCACCATCACTATCCAACTCAACCTCTCCCCCCCCCCAGCCCACAATATTATTCTTTTCTATCATTCCTTTCTACCACTGTTACTCAGCCCAAGTACTGTAACATAATTTATGACTTGGGAGGCATCTCGATAGTCTGAAGTTTCATTGGTCCAAAAAATAGTAACATTTCCATCAATTTTTTAATCAAGGGTTCATTGATCTGAATGTTCACCATAAAGCCTTTGGACCAATGAACCTTTTGGCTATTTAGCCTTTAAACTATTGCTATGGCCCCATGACAAGACTTTATGATTTTATGATATTATGATTCAAACTGATACTTTTTCACACCATTACTTGGTACACTCACACCAGTATGAACTGATTTCACCAGAACCACTTCCAGAACTACAAACACAAAGCCTACACAACTGGAAGTGAGTGCACGGATAACTTTGTTCAGCTTGAGGAACAATGCCAAACATTACTAACATTTCATAAATATGTACAGTACCTACAGGTCAGTACAAGAGAGCCCAAACTCTCCAACTAACCCATAATAATAGCAATTAAGTTCGACAGCAAGCTTCGTGTTTTAAAGATATGTACTGAGTACTTCTGTACAGTTTTAATAGCCGTTTACAAATAACACAACAAAGTAAGCTTCTATTTTACTGGTGTTACTGTGTGTGTGTGTGTGTGTGTGTGTGTGTGTGGGGGGGGGGGGGGGGNTTCATTTTAATTATCGCTCGAGTGGTGTGTGTGTGTGTGTGTGTGTGTGTGTGTGGTGGGGTGGGGGGGGGAGACCGAAAACTGAGGTAAATATAAATCTCATATGACATACATTGTACATGTAGTATCTACCACGGGTAAGATATTATACAATGTACTTTTTTATAAATATGTACAGTACCTACCTGTCCTACTTTAACCGGTATATTTAATATCTGTATTCCATAATTAATTGTCTTGAGCTCCTCTATATTCAGAAACCCCCCTGATAAGGGTAAAATAAATGACGTGAACAGCGCTGCAGCTGCTAATGTTTTGGTAGCCATGTTAGATGAGGTTGCTTACAATGCATTGTGGGTAGGCAGAAGCTCACTTCCGCGGAGACGCTTTAGAGGAATCCTGGCAGTGTCAGGACAGGTAATAAAATGACAAAAATGGCATCTCAGGCGACAAAAAAAAAAAAAAAAAAAAAAAAAAAAAAAAAAAAAAGACATCACAAGACAGCAGTGTGTTTAACTCCAGTAATACCCATGTCCGTGCAATTTAGTCCGGCGGTTAAGTCCAAATTATTTCCAGTTGATAAAAGCATGAAACTTTCCACGATGAATGACCATTGGGTGTTTGTCAATTTTAGATCGGGGGGCAACTCCAAAATCCACAAGAACCCGGATGAGCGGCTCTCTTAAATATGCTGACTCAGCATTTTATGTACATTTAGATTTCATCAAAACTAGCACTACCAGCACTAATTTAGATATCATAAATACATTTTTAAAACGTACGCTCACCGTGCACATTTATTAGAGCAATGATGACGTCACGATGGCGTCACTGGGTGATATTGCACAATATAGAATGAGAAATATCCACTTTCTCCCATAGGAACAATAGTCTAACTTTACAATGTTTCTTTCCCGTAATTTTTTAGCACAGCAATGCCCCCTTTAGGATTAGAAAGGGAAATTAGTTTGGTTGCTACTTCCTAGACATTGAGCATTTTTCAATATGGCCGTCAATTTTTAGGAAAAATNCTTGTGTGTGTTATTGTGTGTGTGTGTGTGTGTGTGTTAGTGTGTTTGTCTACATATGTATTTTTGTTTGTCTTTTTTGTGAATAAAAAAAAAAAAAAAAAAGGTTGTAGATATTGTAGGTGATGATCACCTACAATCACCTACATCATGAGTTTATAAATTAGCTGTCTTCAGTGAAATGATAATCCAACAGACATACCTTCATCTCTGCTGAAATCAGAAAACACATCATCAGTAAAGAATATATGCAGACGTACACAGTAGTTACAACACAAACATTACACAGAGATCAGAATATATTTAAACAATCATACAGTGATAAAGACACATATACAGTGATCAGAAAATACACGCACATATTTAGTGTCACAAAACACAATGCACTGTGAGGCATCAGAATAAAAACAAAATATAGTGTTCATTTATTAGGATTGAAATGACTATCAGAATTTTTTGTTCACCCCTCAAGTTGACATTATTTTCACTTTGAACATAGATAAAACTGCGTAGGACCTAAGTGGCCCTTTTACAAAATGATAATTACCAAGATAATATATATATAGTGGTGCTGGTCAAAAGGGGATTGAAGAGAACAACAAAGTATAGCAATATCATTATTGCACTGACCTGTGCTGAGAAGTTGTGGTCTTGATGTGATGATGAGTTTAGATGTCCTAATATGATTTCGACTCTTTATAAGTAGCTGAACCGGCTGAGGAACATAAGGAAATAAAATATCTTCAAAAATTTCTTCATTGTTCTTTTCTTTTAGCCTACATTTTAAACTGTTACGTATTCCAAAATATTTTAGATCACATACTCTTTGAAATCCAAATTTCCTTTCCAGTTCAGCTTTGGTTAAAAATTTTCCTTCGTTGAAAAGATCGCCAATTATTCTTATACCCTTATTGTACCATTCTTTGTCCAATATTGATACCCCACCCAATTTTACTTTTCTATTATACCACAGAGGTTCAAGAGCAATATTGCTATTCATATCTTCTATACCGTATGTTAAATCTTTCCAGGAGATAATGACATCTTTCCAAAACCTGTTATTGCAATTGCGTAAGAGTATATCTAAACAATCATTTCCATAGTCAAATATATTCCAAATAGATTGTAAATCAAAGGTGTTCTGGAGAATAGTGTTATAAACGTTATTATTAAGGTATAGTCTTCTTATCCATGTACATTTTTATGCCGTTATGAATTTACTTAAGTCTGTCATTTTATAGACCACCATATTCATAATCCTTTACTATCTGACCTCTCTTTACCTTATCAATTTTGCTACCCCAAATGAATTGGAAAGTAATGGAAATATCTACAACCTTGTAGCCTTAGTAGAGGTCAGTGCAAAAAAAAAAAATTATACTCTGTTCTCTTCAAACCCGACCATCACCACTATATAATATAATATAATATAATATAATATAATATAATATAATATAATATAATATAATATAATATAATATAATACCTAGGAATATATCACTTTGTTAAAGGGACACTTAGATCCCACCCAGTTTTATATATGTTCAGAGTTAAAAGGGTTAATGTGAACTTTGGGGGTGAGCAAGAATTTCTGACAGTCATTTCAATCCCTACATATGAACTTTAAATTTAATGTTTGTAGTCTCATGCCTCACAATGCATTATCTTTTGTGACACTGTATGGCCGCATTCACATCGAGTTGAGCCATGGCTCTACAAAGCCACGACCTAAATATGGTGGACGTACATGAAAGGAAAACTGCCTAATATTTTAATAGTCTCTCCGCCTTTCACACACCTCCCCATGCATCGTCCCTGCGGGGGTACAGTCATTAAATCTCGGCTCCATTGGGATGACACTTGGGGAGGCATGTGAGGGGCGGAGAGAATATTAAAAGATTAGGCGGTTTTCCTTTCATGTACGTCCGCCATATTTAGGTCATGGCTTTGTAGAGCCATGGCTCAACTCGATGTGAATGCGGCCTTTGTGTCTATATATATTCTGATCACTATCTATGTTTGTTTTGTAAAAGGGTCACAGAGTTAAAAAGCTTAATGTGAACTCGTGGACGTAATAAAAAATTTCTGACGGTCATTCCAATCCCTGTATATAAACATTAATTTTTTATGTTTATATTCTGATGCTTTAGAGTGCATTGAATTTTGTGAGGCTGTATGTGTCTGTATAAATTCTGATCACTATCTATGTTTGTGTTGTGGCTGTATGTGTTTATATATTTTTTTATCACTTTGATGTGTCTATTTTGTAACTGCTGAATATGTCTGCATATATTCTTTTCAGCGGAGATGAAGATGTGTCTTCAGGATTATCATCACACTGAGGACAGCTAAACTCATCATCACATCAAGATCTACAGCATTGCAGCCTCACCACAGGTCAGTGCAAAAATGATATTGCTATACTTTGTTGTTCTCTTCAATCCCCTTTTGATCCTAACCACTTTATATAGTTCCTGGGAAATTATTATTTTTAAAGGGGTCACTTGGGGACAGTCCCCTAGATATTTGGATTGATCTATCTCCCTGGGGAGTCTGACTAAATTGCTATCAACTTAACCGTCTTAAATGTCTATCACACTTAGAAAAGCTGTAAGGGGGTAATTATCTTAACCCCCGTGTTGGTTCGATATCCCTGGCAGACAATTAAGTCAATTAAGTTGATAGCAATATAGTGAGACTCCTTAGGGAGTTAGACCGATCCAGATGGATTGATCAAGGTATGGGAACCCAGTCTTAGATCCCACACAGTTTTATATATGTTCATATTGACAAGGGTTGATATGAGCTCATAGGGGTTGCAGGGGGCAGGCACTGAGAAAAATCTGTATATAGACGAAATTTCCTGCAAATTATCATTTTTAAAAGGGTCACTTAAATCCCACCGAGTCTTTTATATGTTCAGAGTGAAAATTAAGGGTTAATATGAACTGGTGGATGTGAACAAGAATTTCTGACTGTCATTCCAATACCTATTATAAACATTAAATTTAATATTTTCTCATGCCTTACAGTGCATTGTCTTTTGTGACAGTGTGTGTCTGTATATATTCTGCTTACTGTATGTGCCTGTATATGTTATATATTGATGATTTGTTCTCTGATTTCAGTAGAGATGAAGGTATGTCTCTTGGACCCCACTTCCATAGATTTTAGATCGATCTATCCCTGTAGGGAGTCTCACTAGATTACTGTCAGCTTAGCCGGCTTAAGTATCTGTCCCGCCTACTAGTCCGGCGGTTAAGTCCAAATTATTTCCAGAATTGTGCAAAAGTTGATAAAAGCATGAAACTTTCCACGATGAATGACCATTGGGTGTTTGTCAATTTTAGATCGGGGGGCAACTCCAAAATCCACAAGAACCCGGATGAGTGGCTCTCTTAAATATGCTGACTCAGCATTTTATGTACATTTAGATTTCATCAAAACTAGCACTACCAGCACTAATTTAGATATCATAAATACATTTTTAAAACGTACGCTCACCGTGCACATTTATTAGAGCAATGATGACGTCACGATGGCGTCACTGGGTGATATTGCACAATATAGAATGAGAAATATCCACTTTCTCCCATAGGAACAATAGTCTAACTTTACAATGTTTCTTTCCCGTAATTTTTTAGCACAGCAATGCCCCCTTTAGGATTAGAAAGGGAAATTAGTTTGGTTGCTACTTCCTAGACATTGAGCATTTTTCAATATGGCCGTCAATTTTTAGGAAAAATAGAAAAACAACCAGAAGTTGACGGATATACTTTATTTGGGGCTCTTGTGAATGTGTTCCTGTCGGAAGAACACTGTAGGGTACAAGACTACACCCTAGCACGTCACTGTTGCCGAAAAAAATGGCCACAAAAACACAAGGTAGAGAAAAGGGTAAAGAAAATCAGGAAAATCAGCATATTTCTGGTATTATCAGTCTAATCAACAGCATATTCTTCTTTGATTTCTCCGTTCATCGTGATTTTTCGTTAGCTATTATCCTACACTACCATTATCTGCTTGTAAAATATTCAAATTATGTGTGGTGAGGGAGTAAGCCCTCCAAGTAGTTAAGTTGCCACTCCAATTGGTCCAATAGTTGCACAATGCTGTGTTGTTTTCTGCAATTGTTAGAAAAAGAATTGTATTCTTTTGGGTTAGAAAAGTCAACTTAGCTTTGCTTTAGTAGCTTCTGGGACACTGAGCACTTTTGTAACCCCAAATGGCCGCCAATTTTTACGTAAAAAGACAGAAATATTCATAGCAATTTATATCAAACTATATACAGTGTCTGTATATTCTTCA